TTTTTGGCTAAAGATTGCCAAACAAACCTTAAAGCATCACTTGTTGTAATGTGATCATTAGTTAGTGGCTCATGCCACCTGCAACTCAACCCAAGTGTTCCATGACACTTGAGTGGACCCACATGCTTGGTCATGTGCTTGGACTTCATGACAATGTTAATTGTTCAAAATGCATCTAACTATTTACTCTCAATTTTCATTCTTATCTCATTGTGGAAAGTTTGCAGACTGATGTGACCCCTCAGACGATTCTTAAGGTAGTGATGGTGTGGGAACTTTTATGGTATAAAACGCCTTTTTGTTAAATATAATGAATTTCTGGTTAAGTGATGAAGCTTTTAAACATAATTTGTTATTTTTGCTTCTAGAAAAATCCCCCTTGTGGCACAGAGCAGTAGGGAGAAGTTGATGCCTTGGGATGGGCCCTTCTTCTCTTACTTAACCTCAAAACAAACATCATCAGTGAATATTTCCACTTGATGATACTGCCACCCCTCATGCAAGGAAACATAAATGCATGGTTTTCATAAAGCAGAAGTGCAGGTTCTATAGGAGATGTCCAGGCCACATCTTGTCCTTCTTGATCCTGACTTGATGAACTAGAATCTGTAGGTGCATTGTAGTATTAACTGTGGAATTGTTTAAGTAGGGGATGGAAGATTGAAAAAGCAAAAGGGAAAATTGATAAAGCAATAGTACTGATAACCATGGGAATCAGAGCCCTCAATTCTGTAGGACTGGGGGAGCAAAGGAAATATGTTGCATTGTTTAGACAAAAAAAAAATCAGGGGAAAATCTAATTATTACATTACTGTCTCTTAGCTCTGAATTCACCATTATATACCCTGCTGAGGCTTCTGTGTCAGGTGCTGCAGATAGGGAGACCACTGAGGGCAGGAGGACAAGCAGGAGACCTGTTTCTTCCTGCCTGTGAGCTGTCTCCCTCAGCAGCGCTTCTCCACCCTGGCAACAACATGGCTCTCCCTCATCCTAGACCTGCCTCACCACAACACTCCTTCCTCCTGCTCAGGGAGGGAAGTGGAGACGCACTCTCCCCTCAGAGCTCTGGGTTCACCTGCTCAGGACCCCCTCCTCTGGCCTTCTTAGTTTATTTTATTCTAACCTGTTTCCTTTGCTCCCCAAGTCTTACAGAAGTGGGGGCTCTGATTCCTGTGGTTATCAGCACTATGTTTTCCCAACGTTCCCTTTGGCTTTTTCAATCTTCCATCCCCTTCTTAAGCAATTCCCCATATTCTCTGTTGAAAAAGAGCCAGTCCTTCCTACTGGGTGATAATTGTGACTCATTCCTCCAGCACCTAGTTCAACTTTTACCTCCGTTGGTCGGAATTCTTTGTGAGAGTAATGAAAATTTTCATTTTAGCAAGTTCCAAACCATATGTGGCCAGGCCTATTAGATGGGCTTTCCAAGGTGGAAAATGCAGTGAAGGAAGGAAACCGTGATGATAAACCATAGCCCTGACGCCTGTTTAGAAACAAGGACCCTAGCACATTGCTATGATTATGCATATAAACTCTAGAGTAGAGGCAGTCATATCAATTGCGGGGCTAGCACAATAATCCAGTTGACGGATAGTTGGTGGCTCTGTTCCAGGTGGTGGTGGAGAAAGAGGTGAAGAGAGGGTTAATTCTAAATGCATTTTGAAGCCAATCTGACAAAGAGGTTTGCTGAGGATTAGATGGAAGGTGAGAGGAGTCAAAGATCTTCCCAAGGCTTTTCACCTAAGCAGCTGGAAGGATGGAGTGTCCATCAGTTGAGTTGGGGAAGGTATTAGGTGGATAAAGTTTCAGGAGAAATCCATGAGTTGAAGTATGCACAGTTGAGTTTGAAATGTCACTAGGTGTCCAAGTGCAAATCATTCCAAATCTTTGCTCTTTGTCTTGATTTATCACGTCCCCCTAGAATGAGGAAGCCTGATGTCAGTCCCTTTCAGCTCTCATTTCAGCATCTCTGGTGCACAGTACAGTGCCTGGACCACAATCATCTCAGAACAAAGCATTTGAGTTAATGGATGAAAAAAAAATTGTATACTGTAGAGGTTCCAATTGAGGCCAAAGTTTGTCTTATTCAAGCTCCAACTCCACACTTGTTTTCCAGTCAGGAAGAGAATAACTATTTTGTTCTGTAAACTGCAGCTTCTAGTGTTCACTGGAAACCCATCTTACTAGCTCATCACTTGTAAGTTGAAGTCCTTCTTTCCCGAAGTAGAGAGAAACCTCTCAGAGAGAGACACAGGAGTTTTCTGTCCTTCTTTTATAAGTGTGGCCCAGCCTGGATTTTGCTGGAGACTTATTCAGTCAGAAGACAGGGCTTTGACAACATCTCAGCTCTAGGAGGGGCCAAGGGACTGAGGTGGATCAGGAGATGCCTCCTCCTTGCTTCTTTCTTTGTGGGTGGATATGCTGTTTGTGTTGTGCCCCCATCTCCTAGGAAACCTGAAGAACATTCTAGAACAAGTTCTCTGGGAGCTTCCCTCTCTGCTCAAGTTCAAATCCAAGTAATTACAAACTGTCTGTTGGACACTTGTCAGGGGTCCACAGCCAGGTGCCTCCTTTGCCTGGTGTCCAGCACAGAATAGGAGGAGCCCTTCTGGACACTCTGTACTTTCACCATAATTCAGCCAGCTTGGCCTTTTGCACCAGTGTGACTCTATAATGAGCTGCCTATCTAGCACCTGACCTCTGGTGTCACCTTCTTCATGAAGGTTTCCTTAACTCCCCATTTGAGTTTATGAGTCCCTATTGTGCAGAGAGAGACAGAGAAAGTGAAGATGAAGATGGAGAAGGCTGATTTGATATTAGCCAACTTGATCATGTTGTTATGTTCAGAATACAAGACTACATGCACTCGGTGGAGCATAGCATTTTTACTTATTTGGTATGTTTTTCCTTTCACTTTTCCTTCACTCAAATCTGGAAAGCATAAGGTGCTCACTAATTAGAGGTAACCATAGTTACCAATTTGTCTTCAAATTGTCTTGAAGAGGACTTTTTTTTTCCCTCCTCTTGGTTTTAATTCTACAAAAGGCATTTTACATGTCAGTCATCCTTATTCTATATTCAGTTTCACTGGATGATTTTTCTAACTCAGGAGTCTTTGGGTAGCCATATTAAAAGTTCAAAAGTAAAATAACAAAACAATAAAGCCAAGCATTCATTCTTAGAAAAGAGTTTCAGGTCCTGAATTGTCTGATTTTAATATTTCAGCTGATTGGGTGGCAAGAAGAGATGAGCCTGGACCCTGTGGAGTTCAATGTGTACAGGGCGAGATGCCTCAACAGAAAGAAGTTGGCACCAGGAGGAGTGGTTTTAAAATGTCCACTTGGGGGCGCTGTGGTCTTCTGCAGGAGCAGAACCAAGGTCCATTTCTCTGGTTAGGTAAGTTACTGAGTATGAAATTTCACAGACACTCAGGTTCCAATGAGCCACTGTGGTGATAAGATACCCTTAGAGACTGGCTGGCTTCCTCTTCATCCAGTCAGCCCTATTGTTCTGCTTTCTCCTGCCTCTGCTCTTTACCTTCATAGTTCTTGCTGCATTATATTTCAACTGCCAACTCTTCCAACTACTCCTCTTGGCTGTGTCTCTGTACCAGCCACATCAACACAGTGCCTGGCACACAGATGCATTGCTGTGTGTGTTGCTGAGCCTGTGTAGGGCTCAAAACGGTCCCTGTGAGCTAAGAAGGGAGAGCAATTGAATCTTTTCTGGAACGGGACTTAGATCAAGCATGTTGAAATCATTCTGGCTGCAGCCCAGGGGAGTCTGGGCAGGTATGACTTCAACAACTGCTAATTGTACCTGTTCCTGTTTTTATATTAGCCACAAGAAGCAAAAGATAGAAAATGTATTGTTCTTGGAACTCATTTAGATGTGCCTTATTTCATTTGTCAGTAACTCTTGTTCCTTCTGGAAAATTTCCAAACCAGAAGCATCTTGGGAGTCCTGGTAATGGACACAAAATTAAGACAATAAAAAAGCCACCCATTCTTACAGAAGAACATGATACCATGAATGACTGGGGTTTAAAATTTCAGCACATCTTGAGAAAATATTTCATCAATATTTTAGAGTCCCAACAGAGCCTGCCAAGACTTGGTTGGTAGGTTGAGAAGCCAAGGGTTGGCCCCAAAGTCTGTGCTGGTGCCTTTCTCAAAGATGGGTGACAGGGAGACAACCATAGGGTGAGTCCAAGCAGGCATAGCTGGACTTAATCACTCAGAGTTAAGCCTTGGTCCCAAGTGAGGAGCAGGAGTGAGAGAACCAACATAAAAGGAAGCAGAGAGAGGTGGAGGGAGATCTAGGCAGAGACTCCACAAGGGGCAGAGCACAGTGGAAGAGGTTTCAGGCCAGAGTGCAGAGAAATTAACCTGGACTAGAGGCTGGGAAAGCAGGAAAGAACTGGCAACATAAAGTTCTGATGAACTAAGACGCAAATATGCAGCTGAGCCCAAGTGATACCCACCCAGCTTCCCTCTGGAAATATTAGTTTCAATCTCCCCTAAGATAAGGTGGCAAAATAACACAACGTGTGAAGTTGCTCTGTGAGAGAGGGCATGCCAACGTTGGCTTCCATACTGTTACCCTGCCGAAAAGCAGGCTCATCATTGTGAGATTTTGAGAAGAAGTTGGGATTTTGGGGGGGAAATTTCTATATTTTAAAAACATGAGCACTCTGGTTCCAGGAAAGATAAGAGTAAGCATGGTTCACACATCTTCCAGCTGATGATAGCTCCAGGAGAGACTACATAGACCAGCTATTTGAAGACAATGGAAGGAAAAGAGCAGCAAGCAGATTGGGGAAGAAGACCAGAAAAAGAAGTACATCAAGCCAGTAGTGAGTTTATATTTCACATGCTCTGGTGTCCTCCTGGTTTGAACATAGCAGAGCAGGAGACTGCAAGTGGGCTCCAGGGAGAAGTCCCCTAATTTTGGTTCAAGAAGTGAAATTTGGGACTACTAATGTCCAGAGAGACAGCATGAATGCTCCTGATTTTCTTCCTTTCTTAGCTTTCTCTACTCTCTAGATAGAGCACATCTGTGGTGGCAGCAGTCAGTAATGGAACTGGCAGAACCAAAATTCTGAGGAAGGGCAAATCTGCTATTTGATCGGAAGGATTGCCATCTCAAGAGGGTGAACTCATTGCTTTTTTTCCTCTATGTTCTCCTACCACTAGGACCTGAACATGGCCCCAAATATGGCAATGTGAAGCAGACCAGAGTAACCAGAACCCCAAGTTCCTAAGTGAAGGATCCGAAAGGGAAGCCTCCAAGAACACAAAGCACTGGAGAGGTTAAAGAGGAGGAAAGGGACCTCCATGTGTTTATGAACTCCAAGGTTTCCTATTGTCGCTACTCCACTGCAGCCAGACATGTTTAGATCTGGTCCTAACTAGCATACCAAAGACTTTGAGAACTGAAGTAATGGAGAGATCACCATCCAGTTCCCAGCCTGGCCAATGAGTGATTGATGAAGCCTGAAATGGAGCCAACAAGGAGTATAAACTCTTTGAAAACAACTGACATTGTCATCAGAGCCTGTAAGGTTGGGTTGGTCCTTGTTACCAGGACCTGACTAGGTGGATAACCTGCTAAAATAAAAATAGCATTTTTTATGAAGATTTAAACAAGCTACAGTCTCATAATATAATTTTCACATTGTCCAGAATATAAAATCAAAATTACTGAGCATACAAAAAAAAACCAAACCATCAACATTTAAATTGTCCTTGGAAAAGACAGTCAACAGATGCCGGTGATGAAATTTCACAGATGTTAAAATTATCAAAGTCCTTAAAGCAGCTATGATAAAAGTGCTCAAATGAGCAATTGCAACCATTCTTGAAACAAAGTTTAAAATAGAAAATCTCAGCAAAGACATGAGAGATAAAAGTAGAAATCTGAGAATTTAGAAATACAAAGCCAAACAAAGGAAGTCACTGGATGGACTCATTAGAATTGAAACGACAGAGGGAAGAGTCAGTGAATTTGAAGATAAATAGAAATTATCCAATATAAACCATAGAGAGGAAGAAAAGGATATAAAAAATGAACACAGCCTCTCTGACATATGGGAAGAAAAGAGTGGCTTCTGCACTCACCACTGATTTGACCATAGGTAAGGTCCCCTTGACCTTGGAGCTACAGCTGGTACTGTGACCTTTGATCCTCTGGCACACTCCAGAGGCTCCTTGGGGGGAGGGAATTCCCACCACTAAGACCTTTACTGGTCGCAGTGGACCCTCTGGTGATCCATTTCCCTTTGGGGCGTGAGGCTTCTGAGTTTGCAGGAGAGGTTCTGTGGTTTTTTCCTCCTCTGCTGCTGCTGCCAC